ATGCGGAAATGAGCGGGAAGGCGGAGGCGGTATGCGACTGGACCTAGTGCGCGCTCAATGACGAATGGACCAATGAAACGAGGGCGAAGCTTGCTGTTTTGTGGCAGTCGGAGGTTGCTAGCTATCCAAAAGACGGTCGCCGACTGCAAACGACACCTCACGACGACTGCGGTTGGTGGTGCGTGCCATGCGTGCATTTGCGAGCTCAAGGTGTTTCCTCACGTGATCATGAATGAAGGTGAGATGCTGGTGGAAGTTGTCCGCAAGGGACAGTGGGTGTGAGATCGACACGGGTGGGGACATTGGGGTGCTGACCGTACAGTGCGAAAAACGATGACATGCCTGTGGACGAGTGGTGCGTGTTGTTGTAGGCAAACTCGGCCATGCTCAGCTTCTTGTCCCATGCGGCTGCGTCGTGCATCGTGATGTTGCGAAGAATCTGCTCCAAGGTCTCGTTTACGCGCTCAGTCTGTCCATCTGTTTCTGGATGGTACGCTGACGACATGGCTAAGCGAGTCCCAAACAGTGCAAAAAGCTGCTTCCAGAACTTCGAAGTGAAACGAGGGTCGCGGTCTGAGATGATGGAATCGGGAACCTCGTGCAGTCGGACTACGTTATCTATGAACAGTGTCGCGGCTTCCTCTGCTGTGACCTTGCCGTGCGTGGGGATGAAGTGCGCTGCTCGAGAAAACTTGTCCACTACCACGAAGATAGCGTCGTGACCCCTAACTGTGCGTGGTAAAGCCATGATGAAATCCATCGTAACTACCTGCCAAGGGCGGTCATGTGGTGGAATCGGCTGCAAAAGTCCTGCTTTGCGCTGGCGAGAGGACTTCGTACGCTGACACGTGTCGCACGAGCGAATGTAATCCTCTACATCTGCTGCAAGCCCTGGCCAGAAGTACGTGCGACTAAGCGTCTTAGCCGTCTTATCTGCTCCGAAGTGACCTGCACTAACGATATCGTGCGCCTCGAAAAGAAGAAGCTGTCGAAGAGGGCGGTAGGCTGGAACCCAAATCCGTGCTGTACCCTTCCGAATGTAGACACTACCCTGCACCTCTGCTCCTGCGGGCGGCTGCGGTGTGAAGTCGGGATCTACTGTGTAACCGTGCTCGAAGAGTGCTGTGAGAAGTGGATGACCGACAGTGACTGTGAGACTAGCGAGCTGGCAACTAGGGCGAGTGAGCGGATCTGCGAGGTTGCGCACGCCTGGCTTGTACTCTATCCTATAGTGGAAACTCCCCTCCATGAATTCCATCCATCTAGCCTGGCGACGACTCAGCTGCGGCTGCGACTTGAGGAAATGAAGCGAGCAATGGTCCGTGCGTATAACACTATCTGCCCCCTCTAGGTAGCACCTCCAAACCTTATACGCATGAATGATCGCGAGCGCCTCCTTGTCGTGAATCTGATAGTTCAGCTCCGCTCCTCTAAGCTTACGCGACTCGTATGCTATCGGCTGCAACCCGCGGCCCTGGTCCTGAAGGCACTGCTCCAATGGCCCGATCTGATGCGTCGGTCACTACAACGTACGGGCGAGTGGGATCTGGGTACGACAGTGTCAGTGAAGACGTGAGCGACTGCTTCATCTGCTCGAACGCCTGCTGCTGCGCTGGACCCCAATCAAAATCTACGCCCTTCCGAAGTAGGTCGGTGAGTGGACTAGCGATCGATGCATAACCCTGAACGAAACGACGGTAGTAATTCGCGAATCCGAGAAAGCTCTGCAACTCCTTGACTGAGGTCGGAGCTATCCAGTCCTGTACTGCTGCGATCTTCTTCGGGTCGGTCCTAATGCCACTAGCGGATACAACGTGACCTAGAAACTCGACCTCGGGGAGGAAGAATTCGCACTTCGACTGCTTAGCGTACAGCTGCTCCTTCCGCAAGACCTCGAAGACCTTCTGCAAGTTTTGCACGTGCTCCTCTTTAGTTTTGGAGAAGATGAGGATGTCGTCTAGGTAAACTACGACGAATGAACCTAGAAACTCTGAGAGGACGGTATTCATGAGCGTCTGAAACGTCGCTGGGGCGTTGGTCAAACCGAACGGTAGAACCCTGAACTCGTACAACCCCTGCTTCGTACGAAACGTCGTCTTGTCCTGGTCCTCCGGAACTACTCGAATCTTGTGATATCCTGAGCGAAGGTCGATCTTGGAGAAGACTCTAGCGCCCTGCACTGCATCCAGAAGATCCTCTACTCTCGGCACTGGGAATCTGTTCTTGACGGTGGCCGCGTTCAGTGCGCGGTAATCTATGCACATCCGTAACCCTCCGTCTTTCTTAGGCGCGAAAAGGATCGGTGCTGCCCAAGGCGATCTAGATGGCTGTATGAAACCCTGCGCGAGAAAGTGCCTAACCTGCTGCGTCATCTCCTCTGTCTCCGCTGGACTCAACCTCCACTGCGGCTTCGCTACTGGTCTGCTTCCCGGCTCGAACTCTATCCGATGGTCTACTGCTCTGCTGGGAGGCAACCCTGGGGGCAACTCGTCAGGGAAGACGTCTGCGAAATCTGCTAACAGTGCACTCACCTCAGCAGGAAGAGTCGCCTTCTCACCAACTACTGCACTCCCTCCTTTCCCCTCCTCAGCTTCTACCTCCTCAAGGAAAACTGCGAAGATCCGTGCCGCACGCTTCACCAGCTGCCGCACACAAACAGCATTGATGATGGCTGTGGAGGATGTGGCCCCATCGCTCCACTGTGGCAGCTCCCGGAACTCCCCGTCTACCTTGACGCTGCAGCTTCCCTGAGTCCAATCGAACTGAGTATTAACCGTCCGTAGCCAATCCCTACCGAAGATGAAGTCGTAACCATCCAGCGTCGCAGAATCGAAATCACGCCTCACTGTGATCGGTCCTAGCACTACGCGCAACTTGCGAATAACTGGTCCTATGTGGAGAGGCGTCCCATCTACCATGCGAGCGTCCTTGAAGTTAACTGCCGAATCTGCTTCGAGATGGAGACGACTAACTAACGAAGATGAAACGAACGAGTGGCTAGCTCTGCTATCTATGAGAATCTTGACAGGAACTCCACGAAGCTTCCCTAGAAGCACGACTGGACGATCAACAGTGTCTACCTCGGTCGGCGTAGATGACTGCTCTAAGGCCGTCTCCTCTACGTTGGTAGACTTGGCGGGTTCGGAAGCGCTCACACCAGCTAGCGACCCGCTATCTACTGGCGGTTTCCGTTTCCCTGCTGCCGCTCCTTAAGCTGTGGACAGTCCCGCTTCATGTGTCCCGGCTTTTTGCAGTAGTGAAAGTTCCCCCTAAATCCCGTTTTCTGTGAGCCGTCACTGTTAACTGCACCAATCTCCATGGGCGACCGTCCGTCCCTCGATCGAGCGTCGTTGATCTGTTTCGTGTATCCCCTATCGCGATCGTCACGACCCCATCGGCTTCGTACTGCGTCGACGCGTTCTGCTGCTGCGACTACCGACTCGAAGATGGACAACCCGTGAATCGCTATGATCTCCGCTATGTCCGGCTTCAACCCTTCGAGGTAGCGATCGCGCATCTCTGCTTCCGTGATGTCGTCTATCTTGTTGCAAATGCTCAAGAACCGTCGTGTGTACTCCTGGACGTTTCCTATCTGGCGGAAATGACGCAGACGCTTCCTAGCAGCTTCGGAGGCATTCACCAAGTCGAACCTACTTTTCAGCGCCGCTTCAAATCCTTCCCATGTCGTCGGAACAGTGGTAACACCCAAAGCTAAACTCCCTAAGCTCGAAGTTGCAGCTGCATGCCCCTCGCCCTGTTGATGCCCGTCCAAATTAGCCCTTCTTACAGCAGTTTGCGTGAGTTGGCGCCACCACTCCAAGGCCGGGCCCCTCAGCAGCGTAACGGAGTACTCGATCCGCTGCTGCGCGTCCGCCTCTTGCACCCCGCTCGCGGCGAAGTAATTGTTGAGCATGAAGATCCACGTCCGCACGTTCGCGTCGCGTTGACTTGGGTCGAACGGCTCGGGCTTCTGCGGCTTGAGCGCTCTTCGACGTTCCGGCAGCGCTTCCGCGCCAGTCGACGTGTTGGGTGCAGGAGATGGTGCAGCATGACCATGAGAAATTGACGCGAATTCACGAAGCTGTTGCATTTCTGCCCGTACCTGACACCTTTCCTTCTCTTCCTCCCTTCCCCCTTCGCTGAACTCACCCACCTTTTTTACCGTATGGATGCCTCTGAATGCTTTTGAATGCCTTTGAATCCTACTTAATGCCTCTGAACGCCTCTGAACGCCTCTGAATGCTTCTATCCTGTGCCCCTCTGAATGCCCCTGTGGTGCAGGATCTCCTGTGGTCAACATGAGCTCCGTTGATGGTGAGAGCGCAATCTGCCCTCATGTCATTCCAACATGCATGTCATTCAAACGTGCATGTCACTCAAACGTGCATGTCACTCAAACGTGCATGTCATTCAAACGTGCATGTCATTCCCTGCCTGCATGTCATTCCCTGCCTGCATGTCATTCCCTGCCTGCATGTCATTCCCTGCCTGCATGTCATTCCCTGCCTGCATGTCATTCCCTGCCTGCATGTCATTCCCTGCCTGCATGTCATTCCCTGCCTGCATGTCATTCCCTGCCTGCATGTCATTCCCTGCCTGCATGTTATTCCCTGCCTGTATGTCATTCCCTGCCTGCATGTCATTCCCTGCCTGCATGTCATTCCCTGTCTGCATGTCATTCCCTGCCTGCATGTCATTCCCTGCCTGCATGTCATTCCCTCAAGGCGCTGTAAGCCCCTCTCCTCCCTCAAGGCGCTGTAAGCCCCTCTCCTCCCTCAAGGCGCTGTAAGCCCCTCTCCTCCCTCAAGGCGCTGTAAGCCCCTCTCCTCCATCAAGGCGCTGTAAGCCCCTCTCCTCCCTCAAGGCGCTGTAAGCCCCTCTCCTCCCTCAAGGCGCTGTAAGCCCCTCTCCTCCCTCAAGGCGCTGTAAGCCCCTCTCCTCCCTCAAGGCGCTGTAAGCCCGCTAGCCCCTTCCATTGTGTTCACCATTCCCACCTTGATATGTCCACTCGTTTCACATTCACCCACTTCCATCTCCTCCTCACTCCCGACGCTCACTCATACATGTTCCCACCTCCCTTTTCATTCTCCTGCAACCATTTCCCCTCCACTCCCTCCCCTCCCTTTCCCTCCCCCCTCTCCAGCTTCTTCCACTACAATTATTTCATCGGCTCCATTCCTTCTACCATCGCCTCTCTGCCTCAACTCACCTCGCTGTAAGCCAACCACCATCACTCCTCCACTCATGCTCACACTGCACATACCCCGCTCACCTTCATTTGCCAGCTCAGCACAAGCGCCACTCCTTTGCTCCCTAATCCCCTTTTCCTCCTCTTCCCCTCACCTCCCGTCCCCCCTCCCCTCTCCCTTGCAGCGGCCTCTTCTCCAACTACCTCACGGGCACCGTGCCCGTCCCCTCCAAGTCCCTGCTCGCGCTCGACTTGGGCTTTAACTTCCTCTCGGGCACCTTCCCGAAGCTGGCGCTCATGTTCTGTGCGGGCGACAACAACTGCTTCCTCAACTCCACTGCCTGCCGCACCTACGGCATCGTGCAGCGCCCTGCCGGCGCCTGTGCCATCTGCGGCACCGCGGCTGGCCAGGGCGACCTCTGCTTTGGCGGCTCCTGCGCTCCCAGCTCCGCTGCTGCTGTCAGTGCTGGCACTATCAACTCGCCCAATCAGCCGCTGCTGCCCATGGCGTGCGCAGGTGGGTGTGCTGTGGAGGCGTGTGGGTATGGCATGGCAAGGCATGACATTTACAGCCCTTTTTTAGTCCCAACATGTCCCCGTTGCTCACAGAATTTCTAATGTTCCGGCCTTCACATGTGTGCTAATCACACCTCCGCCTTTTCCAGCTGCCCTCTCTTTCCTAACTCCTCCTCCCATGTGGCACCCTTCTCTCTTTCTGCCCGTTCCCGATCCCCCCTTGCAGACAATCCCGCCACGCCAATGGACACCGGCTCTGGTGAGTCTTCTTCAACCACTTGCCCTGCCACCATGCACTCGTGCATTGGCGCACCCTTCTCTCATGCTCTGCATCTCCCCCGTTGCTTTCCTGCGCTCTCATGCACAGTCCCTTGTGCGACTGTCACTCACTCCCTTGGACTCATCTCCTCCTCACTCTCACTTCTCTCCCACCTTTCGTCCCCTTCCTACCCGTCTGCAGCGCTGGCGCTGTTGAATGTGAAGGCAGCGCTGGGAGTGACGTTCACCAGCTGGAACTCTGCTTCGCCCTGTGCGGTCGTCAACGCCTCTCTCACCGTCGGAGTCACCTGGACCGGTGTGACCTGCTCCGCTTCTGGCAACGTTCTCAGCCTGTCAGTGCTCCCCACCCCTGCTCCCTGCTCCGACTCCTGTTGCTGCGTTCGTCTTGAAACTTCTGCCGCTCCCCATTGTTCTGCATGGTTTTGCATTCAACTACATTTCCCAAGGCCTTGGATGCCATTTACGCCTCCACTCTTCCCCTTCCTCCGCACCCCGCTCACGGGAACATGCGCACGGCACACACAGGAACCTGTCGATGGCAGCGCTCACGTGCACCATGCATGCCGACATCTCCAAGCTCTCCGCCCTCACCTACCTGTCAGTGCCCTCACCTACCTGCACCCATCTCACGCGCCTCCATTCCACGCACCTCTGCAGCGATCTGTCGAAAAACGTGCTGCGAGCCAACCTTGACAGCTTCACCTCCGCCTTCTCCGCCCTCAAGACGCTCCAACAGCTGTCAGTGCCGCCCTCACCCGCGCTGCCCTCACCCATGCTGCTCTCACCCATGCTGCTCTCACCCATGCTGCTCTCAACCATGCTGCTCTCACCCGCACTGCCCTCCGCACTGCTGTCACCCGAACTACACTCACCTGCACTGCACTGACCCGTGCTGCTCTCACCATGCATGCAGTGCGCTCACTTGCGGCCCTCACACACGAGCTGTCAAACTATAATTCTATAGTTTGTGTAGTTCTAGTCTAGGTGTTCTCATTTATGTTATTTTCTACTTGCACTAGGGTTAGGTTTTGCATATATCTTGTTTGTACTTTCTGTTTTAGTTAATTTTACATTGTGACATGGTATAGAGCTAGGTTAACCCTAGCGAGATTTTCCCCTTAGGAAAAATCACTCGACTATCATGGGCCCACCTAGTCGCGCCCCGTCCTAGACCGCACGTAGCGCGCTTACCTTAGCCCCGTCGCCTGTAGACCCCCCCCACCCGCCGTCGCCAGTCGCCCGTCGCCCGTTTCCCCCCGTCGATCGCGGCCATTTCCCTTTTTTTTCCCGTCGCCCGTCACCCGTCGCGGCTGTTCGTTAGCGGGCCCCGCGGCCCTTCGTTAGCGGGCCCCGCGGCCCTTCGTTAGCCGGCCCCGCGGCCCTTCGTTCGTGGGCCCCGAGGCTCCTTCGCTAGCGGGCCCCGCGGCCCCGTCGTTAGTCGCACGCACGCACAGCAGCAGCCGCGCGCACGAGCGACCCGTCGCCCCACCTGTTTCCCACCGTCATAACCGCCTCCCCACCCGTTAGACACGGCCCAACCCGCTGCCTTACCCGCCGCCCGGTCCGTTAGCCGTCGCCTCACCTGCGATCTGCCGTCCCACGTGAAGAAATCCGCCGCCACACTAGAAATCGGACTGAACTGCACAAGAACCGCACAGAACCGCACCCGCTGCCCCACCCGTTCAAGCCAGAGCTGCTGCCCCACCCGTTCCAGTCACCTCACCCGGAACCAACCGCCCCACTCGGTACTCTCCACCCCGCAGAACCGCACAGAACCGCACAGAACCGCACAGAACCGCGCAGAACCGCACTGAACCGCACAGAACCGCACAGAACCGCACCCGCTGCCCCACCCGTTCCAGCCAGAACTGCTGCCCCACCCGTTCCAGTCACCTCACCCGGACTCAGCTGCCCCACCCGGTACTCTCCACCCAGCAGAACTGCACAAGAACCGCACAGAACCGCGCAGAACCGCACTGAATTGCACAGAACCGCACCGAACCGCACCAGCTGTCCCACCTGTACCAGTCAGAGCTGCCCCCCATGACCTGAATCCTCCGCCTCAAGAGCTGAAACCCGCCACCAGCAGCACCAGTAGCAGCAGTTTAGGCTGCCCCCCCGCAAAACCAGAAGCAGCATAGGCTGCCCCAGCGCTCGAGCAGCAGCTTAGGCTACCGCCAGCGCATCATCAGCAGCTTAGGCTGCCCCCAGCACACCAGTAGCAGCTTAGGCTGCCCCCAGCAGAACCAGCAGCAGCATAGGCTCACATGGCGTGTACTCGAGTTCTACAGCAGCAGGGCCAGCCGCAGCACTCCCGGCAGTGGGGACCTGCGGGTCCAAAGGGTGGAGCCCCCAGCAGTGGCTCAGCTAGCAGTGGGCGAGACATCGGCCCCTGCGGGTACCGGGCCCTGACAGGCCCTGGTGCTGGCACCACCTGTTGGAGTCCTGCCCACTCTGCGTCCAGCTGCTACCGTCGACTCGACGACCTCCACCGTGAGCGTTTTGGTCCTCACGCTATTACACCGCACTGGCCCTCGCGACTTCGCCAGCGCACTGCTGCACCAGTTGAGTCTCACTTACCTGGTCTAGGACCGTTCCCGGCTGCACGAGTAGAGACATGTGTTTCCAGTCTTGGTGCGTGTGTTGTTTCCAGTCCAGGCGCCTCTGAGGGTCTTTGTGTAGGAGCTGCAGCTACCACTAGTCTACCAGCCTTTGCAGCTGGCTCGGGTGCGACCTCACAGACTGCACAGCTTTCCTTCACCCTAGACTCTGGAGCGTCCAGCTGTTTCTTTCGCGACTGTACTGACCTCACACCACTGCGCTCTCCAGTCACTGTCGCCTTGGCTGACCCCTCTGTGGGACCTGTAGTTGCCCGCAGCACCACCACTCTCCCGTGTCCGGCGGCTCCCTCTGGGTTCCTCACAGGTTACTACACCCCCTCGTTCTCCAGGAACCTGGTGGGTGTCAGTCACCTCCACGACCTAGGTGTAGTCACTACTTTCCCAGTCGACGAGCCTGTTGCCTCCTGCACAGTCGGTACCACTGGGGCCCCTCTGGCCACTTTTCACAGGGAGCCGGGCTCTGGTCTGTACTCACTACACACTAGGTCCCACCACACTTGGTCAGGTCAGGTCAGGTCAGGTCAGGTAGCTGCTGTGTCGTGTGACTGTCGGTCCCTCACCCACCCGTCGGTCCTCTGGCACCACCGTCTAGGTCACCCGTTGTTCCCGCGTCTCAGTAGGATGGCACGTTACCGTCTGGTCTCAGGTCTCCCAGAGTCGCTTGCACCGCTTCCCCGCTCGCCTCCGCCGCTGTGCACTCCTTGCGTCGAGGGTCGGCAGCGCGCTGCCCCTCACTCCTCCTCGTTCCCCCCCACCACGGCTCCCTTCCAGACCCTGCACTTGGACGTCTGGGGCCCCTCCCCGGTCCTTGGGCCACGTCAGGAGCGCTACTTCCTGATTGTGGTGGACGACTACTCCCGCTACACCACGGTTTTCCCCTTGCGACGGAAGGCCGACGTGCCTACCGTCCTCGAGCCGTGGCTACTAGCGTGGGGTGGCGCCCAGGGCCTGTGTGGGCTTCGCCTACACTCGGACCGTGGTGGTGAGTTTTCTTCCACTCGCCTGGAGACGTTCTGTCAGGGTCGGGGGATCATCCAGTCTTACACGCTACCAGCCTCGCCGCAGCAGAACGGGGTAGCCGAGCGACGCATCGGCCTGGTCATGGAGGTTGCCCGGACCTCCATGTGCCATGCCAGTGCCCCCCAGTTCTTGTGGCCTCAGGCGGTCCGCTACGCCGCGCATCAGCTGAACCTGTGGCCCAGTGACGCACGGCCACGGGTGACGCCGGTCTCCCTTTGGACAGGTTCTCCGGGCGTAGCAGCTGACTTCCGTGTCTGGGGTTCTCTGGCTCACGTTCGCGCCCCTGGCGCGAACAAGTTGTCTCCGCGCACTCGTGCCTGCGTCTTTCTTGGCTTCCCTTTGGACGCCTCCGGCTGGGTGTTCTACGACCCGGTCACCTACCAGTTCTTCGATTCTCAGGACGTCACGTTCGACGAGTCTGTCTGTTACTACAGGAGTCGCCCCCACCGAGGTACTGAGGCCTTTTCCCCCCCGCTGTTCCTCACCCTTGAGCCGCCACCAGTCGCCCCGGTAGCCCCCCCCCCTTCGGGTCCTGCCCCGTCAGGTGTGTCGCACGTCACTCCGCAGTCTTCCCCCCCGCAGCGTCCAGTCCCTGTCGTGTCTGGGGGTGCGGGAGGTGCAGTTGCGGAGGGTGAGGGTACTGAAGCTGCAGGAGCTGGTGGTGTCGGCTCTGGGGGTGCAGGGGTTGTGGGCGTGGAGGTCACTCCTGTGGAGGACACGGCAGCCTCGACTCGGCGGCCTCGCCCCGCCTCACCCCTTGGCTTCCCGTCCGTCCCGCAGTTTCCTCCTCGTTCTTCTCTGCGGCCGGTTGCTGCGGAGCCTGGGGGTGTTCCTGCGGGAGGTACTGGAGGCCCCGGGGGTGTCGGTGGTGGAGGTGCTGGTTCGGGGGGTGCTGGAGCTGGAGGCACTGGCACTGTGGCGCCTACACCGCGAGCTGTACGTTTTCTGACCCGTGAGCAGCGTCTCCTCAGGTTGGAGAGGGAGGAGCGTGAGCGGTTTGAGAGGGCACAGCAGCAGGAGCAGCAGCAGCAGCAGCAGCAGCAGTAGCAGCAGCAGCAGCAGCAGCAGCAGCAGCAGCAACAGTAGCGGCAGCACCAGCAGCAGCAGCAGCAGCCGCAGCAGCAGCCGGAGAGAGTAGAGGAGGAGTCACAGCCGCAGCAGGAGAGGGTAGAGGAGGAGTCACGACAGCACCAGGAGAGGGTAGAGCAGGAGTCCCGCCCGCAGCAGCAGGTGCAGTTACAGACACAGCAGGAGAGAGTAGAGGAGCAGTCACGGCCGCACCAGGAGAGGGTAGAGCAGGAGTCCCACCCGCAGCAGCAGGTGCTGTTACAGACCCAGCAGGAGAGAGTAGAGGAGGAGTCACGGCCGCAGCAGGAGAGGGTAGCACAGGAGTCCCGGTCGCAGCAGCGGGTGCAGCTGCAGTCGCAGCAGGAGAGGGCAGAGGCGGAGCCACAGGAGCAGCAGCAGGGGCCGGTACCGTCGCAGCAGACGCCAGAGGAGGCGGAGCAACAGCGACTGCGACTACGCGACCTCCCCGACCCAGCACCTGCACGCTTTGTTTGTGGTCCCCTACCGTCCCCTCCTGTTCCCCCTGTTGAGTCCCTGTCCTCGTCCCAGTGGACTCGTCGTTCTCCACTCAGTCGTGCTATGTCCCCAGAGCGTCGTCGGTCCCGTTACCGTGCAGACGGTCCGTTCCACCTTGTTCTTCGCTCTCGTGTTCCACCTCCTCCTGTCCTTCCACAGCCTCCTGAGTCATCCCTCACTGTTCTTCACGACCCGTTGTCCGACTACCTTCGTGCCTCCCGTCCTGTCGTCTCCCGTGTCTTGTCCGCGTTGGTCACTCACCCGACTGCACCCCTGTCGTCTGTCTCAGCACTTGTTACCACTGTCGCTGGCTTTGCCTCTTCCCACCGCCTTGACTACGCCGCTCACTTGGTGAGTGGCCCTGCTCGTTCTCTGTCCTCTGGGGGTGCTCCTTTCTTTCCCCTGGAGGTCCTAGAGGACAGGCAGTTTGAGCTTGGTTTCCTTGCAGCCGCTGTTCCTCATCTCTGCGCCATGCTGCTTACCCCTGAGGGGGATCCAGACGCTCTTGACATCCCGATCCCTCGCAATCACGCTGAGGCGGTCTCGGGACCTTGGGCCTCGTACGGGATAGCAGCCGAGGAGGCAGAGATGGCATCTTATAGGTCCACAGGCACTTACGTCGACGCAGTCCCACCACCTGGGACGAATGTCGTCAGTGGCCGATGGCTCTACAAGGTGAAGCGGCCGCCTGGATCACCACCTGTGTTCAAGGCGCGCTATGTTGCGAGAGGCTTCAGTCGGCGAGAGGGGGTGGACTTCTTCCAGACCTTCGCTCCCACCCCGAAGATGAGTACTCTTCGGGTGTTGCTGCATATTGCAGCCCAGCGCGACTACGAGTTGCACTCCTTGGACTTTTCCACCGCGTTCCTTCAGGGGAGCCTGCACGAGCAGATCTGGCTGCGTCGCCCGCCTGGCTTCACTGGCTCTTTCCCACCTGGGACCCAGTGGCAGCTGCGTCAACCAGTCTACGGCCTGCGTCAGGCCTCACGTGAGTGGCACGACACACTTCGATCGACCCTTGCAGCGCTTGACTTGTTTCCGTCGTCTGCCGACCCGTCACTGTTCGTCCGCCGTGGCTCGACCCCGTTCTTTGTCCTGGTCTACGTCGACGACCTGGTGTTCGCCACTCCCGACCGACGCGCGCTGGCCTCCGTGAAGGAGGAACTGCAGAGGAGACACACTTGCACTGACCTTGGTGAGCTGCAGCACTACCTTGGCCTGCAGATCACCAGGGACAGGGCAGCTCGCACCATTACGCTGACGCAGTTGCATATGGTCGAGCAGATCCTCACGCGGTTTCGCTTCCCGTTCTCCAAGGTACAGCTCACCCCTCTTGCTGTGGATCATGGGCTCACGGCTCCACCTTCGGACGAGTCATTCGAGTCCAGTGGTCCATATCCTGAGCTGGTGGGTTGTCTCATGTACCTGATGACCTGTACTCGCCCAGACCTAGCCTACCCTCTTAGCGTCCTTGCGCACTTTGTTGCGCCTGGGAGACACCGACCATCCCACTGGTCCGCTGCTAAGAGGGTGGCGAAGTATGTGGCGAGTACTTTAGGCATGGGACTTGTCCTTGGAGGGAAGCAGCCAGTTACACTCACAGGTTACTCAGACTTGTCGTGGGCCGACGACGCGGAGACGCGTCGGTCTACACAGGGGTACTCCTTTAGCCTCGGGGCAGGTGCTGTTTCGTGGCGGTCGACTCGGGCGTCGTCTGTCGCCGGTTCCAGCTGTGAGGTCGAGGTGTACGCTGCGGCCATGGCCGCTCAGGAGCTTCGCTGGCTGTCTTTCCTTCTCACCGACCTTGGTGAGCGGCCTCGCTCTCCCCCAGTCTTGTTCGCCGACAACAGGTCTGCTGTCCTGTTGTGTGAGGAGCCCCGACTGGTTGGGAAGGCGAAACACATCCAGCTTCGTTACTTCCTTCTGCGTGAGTTGCAGCAGCGTGGCCAGGCCCGCGTGGTCCGTGTGGTCTCTGAGGCCAACACGGCAGATATCTTCACCAAGGCGTTGCCGCCTTGTGACCACCAGCGTTTCTGCACCCAGCTTGGCCTTGTGCCTGCCCGTCCACACTTGCTTACGTAGAGATGCTTTTTCCTGCATGTCTTGTACTCTTGCATCTCTTTATATTTGCTATATACCTACATGTGGACTGGCCTTGTGGCCCCTTGTTTGCTCTCGGAGTGTGTGGTGACTTTGAGCTCCACCCTGAGATTTGTCTTGTTCTTGTGGACTGGTCTTGTGACCGTTGCTTGCTCTTGTTGTTTCTACAGGACTACCGTCACCTAGACTATGGGGGTGTGTCAAACTATAATTCTATAGTTTGTGTAGTTCTAGTCTAGGTGTTCTCATTTATGTTATTTTCTACTTGCACTAGGGTTAGGTTTTGCATATATCTTGTTTGTACTTTCTGTTTTAGTTAATTTTACATTGTGACACGAGCTACCATGTGCCACGCACTGCGTGCAACCGCCACTCTCATTCACTCCTATCCTAACTTGCCTTGCACCGCTTGTTGTCCCTTGCACCTCTCCCCGCAGGCGTCTCAACAACAACTGGTTTGCAGGCTCCCTGCCTCTGCCGCTCGTGTCTCTTCCCGCCCTTACTATGCTGTAAGGATCCACAACAAACCATTCCTAGCACACGCCACACGCCAAGTGTTGCACCAGCCATTCCTAGCATTGCAACCCAGACATAATGAGTTCACAACCTCGCTGCAACCACACCATACAGCAGGCATGCATCCACAAACCCTTGCTTTCCCAAATCCCCCTCTCCCCTCCCTCCTCTTCTCTTCCTTCCCTCCTTTCCCATCCCCCCACCCCGCAGGGACGAGCAACTCCCCCGATCTACGTTCTTCACCCTCCCCTCTTCTCTTCCTCCCTCCCCCTTCGCTGAACTCACCCTCCTTTTTTACCGTATGGATGCCTCTGAGTGCTTTTGAATGCCTTTGAATGCTACTTAATGCCTCTGAACGCCTCTGAACGCCTCTGAACGCCTCTGAATGCTTCTATCCTGTGCCCCTCTGAATGCCCCTGTGGTGCAGGATCTCCTGTGGTCAACATGAGCTCCGTTGATGGTGAGAGCGCAATCTGCCCTCATGTCATTCCAACATGCATGTCATTCAAACGTGCATGTCACTCAAACGTGCATGTCACTCAAACGTGCATGTCATTCAAACGTGCATGTCATTCCCTGCCTGCATGTCATTCCCTGCCTGCATGTCATTCCCTGCCTGCATGTCATTCCCTGCCTGCATGTCATTCCTTGCCTGCATGTCCTTCCCTGCCTGCATGTCATTCCCTGCCTGCATGTCATTCCCTGCCTCCATGTCATTCCCTGCCTGCATGTCATTCCCTGCCTGCATGTCATTCCCTGCCTGCATGTCATTCCCTGCCTGCCTGTCATTCCCTGCCTGCCTGTCATTCCCTGCCTGCCTGTCATTCCCTGCCTGCATGTCATTCCCTGCCTGCATGTCATTCCCTGCCTGCATGTCATTCCCTGCCTGCGTGTCATTCCCTGCCTGCATGTCATTCCCTGCCTGCATGTCATTCCCTGCCTGCATGTCATTCCTTGCCTGCATGTCATTCCCTGCCTGCATGTCATTCCCTGCCTGCATGTCATTCCCTGCCTGCATGTCATTCCCTGCCTGCATGTCATTCCTTGCCTGCATGTCATTCCCTACCTGCATGTCATTCCCTGCCTTTAAACTCATTCCCTGCCTCCATGTCATTCCCTGCCTGCATGTCATTCCCTGCCTGCATGTCATTCCTTGCCTGCATGTCATTCCCTGACTGCATGTCATTCCCTGCCTGCCTGTCATTCCCTGCCTGCATGTCATTCCCTGCCTGCGTGTCATTCCCTGCCTGCATGTCATTCCCTGCTTGCATGTCATTCCCTGCCTGCCTGTCATTCCCTGCCTGCATGTCATTCCCTGCCTGCATGTCATTCCCGGCCTGCATGTCATTCCCTGCCTGCATGTCATTCCCTGCCTGCATGTCATTCCCTGCCTGCATGTCATTCCCTGCCTGCATGTCATTCCCTGCTTGCATGTCATTCCCTGCCTGCATGTTATTCCCTGCCTGCATGTCATTCCCTGCCTGCATGTCATTCCCTGCCTGCATGTCATTCCCTGCCTGCATGTCATTCCCTGCCTGCATGTCATTCCCTGCCTGCATGTCATTCCCTGCCTGCATGTCATTCCCTGCCTGCATGTCATTCCCTGCCTGCATGTCATTCCCTGCCTCCATGTCATTCACCATCTGCTCCGAGTCACACATTGTGCCGCTCCGCACTCACGCACCATGCCACCTCCCCCAGCCCCATGTGCCTCCCTCATCTCTCACTCCTTCCCCCACCTACCTCCTCCCTCCCCCCCTCCTCCTTTCTGCATGGCAGCGCAAGCGCTGGGGGCGCTGAAGGCTACGATGGGCATCACGTTCACCACGTGGGCGCCCGCCACCTTCTGCACCGTGGCGCCCACCGCCATTGTCGCCGGCACGTGGGATGGCGTGCAGTGCAACTCTTTTGGCAAGGCCGTCAGCCTGTGAGTGCCGCCAGCCTGTGAGTGCCGTCAACCTTTCCGCATGTGCAGGTTTCCCCCTGCTCTTGCTGTGATTAGCAGGTTGCCCTCGCTGCCCTTGCACTCGCCCTTGCTATCGTCTGCTTCCACCGCCATCGACCCTCTCGTTTTGTTGCTTCAGCGTCCACATGTAGGGTGGGCGGATCTTCAGCTTATCGCTTTCCTGCCTCCCCTCTTTCCACTTCTCTCCCACTGGCTTGTGTGTGCCCCACCTTACGTCTCGTCCTCCAGGAATCTCCCCAGCAGCAGGCTCACGGGCACGCTGTCACTTGCCATCTCCAGCCTCGTTGGCCTCACCGCCATGTGAGCCCGCCCCCTGCATGCCCGCCTGCATGGCCCCCTGCATGCCCGCCTGCATGGCCCCCTGCATGCCCGTCTGCGTGCCTGCCTGCATGCCCGCTGTTTCTTTACTCGTGAGATGCCACTCCAACCATTTGTATTGACTGCCCCTATTAGCTAAGTGAAGCTGTGTAGTCAGATGTACTTATGTGGGAATGCGATTGCTCAGAACGAATGGCCCACTCAAGCTGTCCTCTGGCCACTTGTGGTGCCCCACTCACCACATTAGCACACAAACATCCACCACTCACCACATCCGCCCTCCCGACCACCCCTCCCAGCAGTGACCTCTCCTCCAACCTCTTCCAGGGTCGCCTGGACGAAGTTGCCACGCAGCTGCGCCTGCTCACCAGCCTCAAACTCATGTGCGTCGCTCTACCTGCTCTTGCTCTCCACTCAACTGGGGCCGCACTACAGCATTTCTGACATTCTGCCCACTCTTGTTTTCTTGTTGTTTTGGCTCTATCATATCGTCCTTCCGTGTGCATGTCTGGTTGCTCTGCTTCTCTTGCATCCCCTCACTCACCCACATGTGCCTGTGCGCCCTCACCCCCACGCTCACAGCAACCTGGACTACAACTGGTTCTCCGGCTCCGTGCCTGCCTTCATGCTCACGCTTCCCAGCCTCACCGATCTGTAAGCCCCACCTGTCCCCTCCCCTCGCCAACAACTGCTTCCTTTTACTCCCCTCCTCTCCAGTTGCTCTATGCCGATCTCTTGGTGTTATCCCAATGAACCTTCGACTTCCTCCTCTTCCGTTCCCCACTTCCTCGTGACCTCGCCCACGTTTTCCCCTTACACACACACCCCATGCAATGGGACGTGACCCGCGTGCCTCCCACCGCGCCCTGGGCAGCTCCGTGGGTTACAACTACCTCACGGGTGCGCTTCCCCCCGTGACATCGCCGCTCTCATCGGTGAACGTGCAATTCAACTTCCTCGCCGGCACCTTCCCCACGCTCACCCTCATCCTCTGCGCCGCACGCATGAACTGCTTCCTCGACGCCACCAAGTGCAAGAACCCCGCACGTGCCGCCGAGCTCCCGCGGGCCACTGCCGCATGCACCATCTGCAACACGACCAACGCGCAGGGGCGGCTGTGCAACGGCGGGGTGTGCATCGTCAACGCCACGGACCTCGTCGCTCTGGGCGCACCCAACAGTGCCGCATCGCCCTCGCTGCCGCTCATCTGCACTGGCGCTGCGTTTGTGGCGATGGACACGGTCCATGCGGGCGCCATGTTGAACCTCAAGGCGTCGCTGGGAGTGACCTTCAGTGACTGGAAGGCTGACTCGCCCTGCTCCCTGCCTGACGGCGTCGCTGCTGTGTCATGGAGTGGCGTCAGCTGTGACGGCACCGGCAAACTGCTGAGCATGTGAGTGCAAAGTGCTGAGCATGGGAGTGCAAAGTGCTGAGCATGGGAGTGCAAAGTACTGAGCATGTGAGTGCAGAGTGCTCAGCATGTGAGTGCAAAGTGCTGAGCATGTGAGTGCAAAGTGCTGAGCATGTGAGTGCAAAGTGCTTAGCATGTGAGTGCAAAGTGCTAAGCATGTGAGTGCAAAGTGCTGAGCATGTGAGTGCAGAGTGCTCAGCATGTGAGTGCAAAGTGCTGAGCATGTGAGTGCAAAGTGCTGAGCATGTGAGTGCAAAGTGCTGAGCATGTGAGTGCAAAGTTCTGAGCATGTGAGTGCAAAGTGCTCAGCATGTGAGTGCAAAGTGCTCAGCATGTGAGTGTAAAGTGCTCAGCATGTGAGTGCACGTGCAGAGCAGTTGCCGATGCAATATGTTGACTGCACGCACTGTGGCTGGAGTTTGTTGCCCAATCAACTTGGGGTCCTCGCCCGTGCTCCTCTGCTCTCGCCCTGCCCTCGTCCTGCCATCGTGTATGTGCTCCACTCCGCAGAGTGCTCAACGCGCAGAGGCTGGCAGGCAGCATCCACTCCGGTATCTCCAAGCTCACCACGCTCACGTTGATGTCAGTCCTCGCACCCTCCTTCTGCCACCTCTCGTTCTCACCACCTCTCGTTCTCACCACGTCTCGCTTCACCCACCTCTCCCTCTCACCCAACTGCGCTCTGCCATTCCACCATTCTCCCATTTTTTACTCCTCACCAAATGCCATTGTAGATTGCACTTTGCTCCTTGCACTCTCTCTCTCCTCTCCGTGGCTGTGCCCTGCAGCGACCTGCAGTCCAACCTGCTGCAGGGCCGCTTGGACTCCTTTGTTGCCGCCATCAAGGCGCCCCTCGTGCTCAAGGAGCTGTGAGTCGCTGCATCCCGCCACCTCCCCATGCATGCGCGCACTGGGCCATGCATGCACTGGGCCATGCATTCACTGGGCCATGCATTCACTGGGCCATGCATTCACTGGGCCATGCATTCACTGGGCCATGCATGCACTGGGCCATGCATGCACTGGGCCATGCATGCACTGGGCCACGCATTCACTGGGCCATGCATTCACTGGGCCATGCATTCACTGGGCCATGCATTCACTGGGCCATGCATTAACTGGGCCATGCATTCACTGGGCCATGCATTCACTGGGCCATGCATTCACTGGGCCATACATTCACTGGGCCATGCATGCACTGGGCAATGCATTCACTAGGCCATGCATGCACTGGGCCATGCATTCACTGGGCCATGCATTCACTGGGCCATGCATTCACTGGGCCATGCATGCACTGGGCCATGCATTCACTGGGCCATGCATTCACTGGGCCATGCATTCACTGGGCCATGCATTCACTAGGCCATGCATGCACTGGGCCATGCATTCACTGGGCCATGCATTCACTGGGCCACGCATTCACTGGGCCATGCATGCACTGGGCCATGCATTCACTGGGCCATGCATTCACTGGGCCATGCATTCACTGGGCCATGCATTCACTGGGCCATGCATTCACTGGGCCATGCATTCACTGGGCCATGCATTCACTGGGCCATGCATGCACTGGGCCATGCATTCACTGGGCCATGCATGCACTGGGCCATGCATTCACTGGGCCATGCATGCACTGGGCCATGCATTCACTGGGCCATGCATTCACTGGGCCATGCATTCACTGGGCCATGCATTCACTGGGCCATGCATTCATTGGGCCATGCATTCACTGGGCCATGAATGCACTGGGCCATTCATTCACTGGGCCATGCATGGACTGGGCCATGCATTCACTGGGCCATGCATGCACTGGGCCATGCATTCACTGGGCCATGCATGCACTGGGCCATGCATTAACTGGGCAATGCATGCACTGGGCCATGCATTCACTGGGCCATGCATTCACTGGGCCATGCATTCACTGGGCCATGCATTCACTGGTCCATGCATTCACTGGGCCATGCATTCACTGGGCCATGCATTCACTGGGCCATGCATTCACTGGGCCATGCATTCACTGGGCCATGCATTCACTGGGCCATGCATTCACTGGGCCATGCATTCACTGGGCCATGCATTCACTGGGCCATGCATGCACTAGGCCATGCATGCACTGGGTCGTGCATGCACTGGGCCGCACTCTCTTCTGTCCTACATGGCACACTCACTCTCTGCACCATGCACTCTTCTCCTTTCCTCCAATCCTCAACCCCCCCCAACCCCCTCGTCCTCTCCCCTGTCTTCTCCCCCCCTTGCCCTGCCCGCGTGTCACTGCAGTGCGCTGCAGTTCAACTACCTCTCGGGGCAGTTCCCCTCCACGCTGCTCGCCCTCACCACGCTCTCCAAGCTGTCAGTGCTCTGCACCACCGTGCTCTCCGCTCTCTCCCTCGCCCCACACCACCCCTCCCCTCCAATCGCATCCCATCTCTCTCACACACACTCTCTTCCCTCCCATTCTTGTCTTTCCTTCCCTTGTCCCTCCTCGGTCCCCACCCACCCCCACCCCAACCCTCCACTCCCCTCCCATGCCCTCCCCTGCTCCCTGCCCCCCAGCTCTGTGGCCTACAACTACCTCACGGGCACCTTCCCAGCAGTGCCAGCGTCGGCCAAGTCAGTGGACGTGCAGAGCAACTTCCTCTCAGACGCCTTCCCCACCAACACACTCACCTACTGCGCCGCCACCTCCAACTGCCTCATAGATGCCTCCAAGTGCGCCTCGCTCGGCATCTCCCAGCGCACTGCGGACGACTGTGCCATCTGCGGCACCACCAGCAGCCAGGGCACGCTGTGCGGCGGCGTCGCCTGCCTCGTCAACACCACCGGTGTCACGGCGACCCCCACTGCCACATCGCCCCCCCTCAACCTCTACTGCACGCCTGTTGCCATGGACACCAACACCAGTGAGTGTTGCCCCTGCCATGCTCCTCTCATGCCATGCCATCCATGCCATCCATACCATCCATGCCATATATACCATCCATGCCATCCATGCCATCCATACCATCCATGCCATCCATACCATCCATGCCATCCTGGTCCCTCTCCGGACCCCTCTTCCTGCCTTTCTCTTGCCTTTCCCTGCCCATCCTCACTCACCTCACAACACACCACTCGACCGCCACCCATCCCACGTGCAGCCACGACACTGCTGGCACTGAAGGCGGTGTTAGGGGTGACGTCCACGGACTGGGCGGCCACAACAGTGGTGCTGCAGCCCAAGGCACTGAGGAGCGCCAGTGTGCCCATGGCCACCACGGTGGGCGCGTGCACGGTGGAGGGGCAGACCCCTGCGCCCGGCTCCTGGACCGGCGTCTTCTGCAACTCCGCTGGCGCCATCGTCAGCCTGTGAGTCCATGTGGCGGCTTCCATTCCACGCCTGCTGTGCATCACCTTGTGGAGGCCACTAGTCTCTAGAAGCACCGCCCACTAGTCTCTAGAAGCACCGCCCACTAGTCTCTAGAAGCACCGCCCACTAGTCTCTAGAAGCACCGCCCACTAGTCTCTAGAAGCACCGCCCACTAGTCTCTAGAAGCACCGCCCACTAGTCTCTAGAAGCACCGCCCACTAGTCTCTAGAAGCACCGCCCACTAGTCTCTAGAAGCACCGCCCACTAGTCTCTAGAAGCACCGCCCACTAGTCTCTAGAAGCACCGCCCACTAGTCTCTAGAAGCACCGCCCACTAGTCACTTCTCTCTCTCTCTCCCACCCCTCCCCTCCCACATTTCAACACCTCCCCCTGGTCAACCTACAGAAAGCTGTCCAACCAGAAGCTGACGGGAAGCTCTCGACGGATATCAGCAAGCTCACAGCGCTCACAATTATGTGCGTCACCCCCCATCCCATGCACGCCCTCCCAAAGCCGTACTCATGCCACCACGGTCACACCTGCCTTTTCCCCCCACCTGCCTTTTCCTCGTACCTGCCTTTTCCGTGTAGCGCATTCGAGTTCATTCCAAGTCCCAAATGCAAAAATACATTTGCAATGTCTTCAATTATGTTATCCTTCTGCGTTTAAACGCATGTGTGTGCATCTGATTACATGTGTTGCATGCGTGTTGTCTGTGCATGATTGTGCATGCGATTCTATGTGTGTGCATGTGATTCCATGTGTGTGCATGTGATTCCATGTGTGTGCATGTGATTCCATGTGTGTGCATGTGATTCCATGTGTGTGCAAGGGATTCCATATGTGTGTATTTGTGCGTGCGATTCCTGTGTGTGAATGTGATTCCATGTGTCTGCACTGCACTGTTCTTCACTCTATGCAGGGATTTGAGCGCCAACCTATTCCAGCAGCGCTTGGACGTGTTTGTGTCGCTTCTCTCAAAACACTCAAGTCGCTGTACGTGCTCCACTCCACCCTGCGTCACATGCTGCACTCCCAGCACCACTGCCAGCACCACTGCCAGCACCAGCGTCACTGCCACTGTTCCATGCTCTCGCGCCACCTAGCCGTCTCCGTATGCCATCTATCACCTGCTGCTCCTCACCTCACTACCCTCCTCCCACCACCTCCCATGCGCCCTGCCCGCCCACAGCGCCCTGCAGTACAACTGGTTCTCCAGCTCCATCCCCTCCGCCCTCCTCGCCCTCCCTGCTCTCTCCACCGTGTAAGTGCCCCCTCCTTCGCTACCCTTATTGTCTCTTGGCCCCATCCGCCCTGTGCCCCAGCTCCATCTCAGCCGCACCTGTGGTAACACTCAACCAACTGCTGCTCTGCTGACTGACACGTGCTACTCACCACATGTTCCCCATGTCTCCCTCTTGCACACAACCCCCCCTCCCCTTTCCCTCCCCTCCCCCTCCTCTCTCCCCTGTGGGTGCGAGCAGCAAGTTGAACCGCAACTACCTGACGGGCGTGGTGCCGGCAGTGGGCGCAGCGGTGAAGGCGCTCAACGTGGCGGGCAACTTCCTCTCGGGCTCCTTCCCCACGGCCGCCCTCACGGCGTGCAACGCGCGCTCCAACTGCTTCGTGGACGCCACCAAGTGCGCCAACACCAACGGCACCGCGCAGCGCGCCTCCGCCGACTGCAACGTCTGCTTCTCCTCCGGCGCTGCCGGCGCGCTCTGTGGCGGCGGCTTCTGCATGCCCGATGCCACCGTGCCGGCCGGCACCGCCACGCCCAACACGGAGGAGGGGCATGCGCTGCTGCCCATGTTCTACCAGGGCGCTCCCATTGAGATCAACATGCGCGGCGCCATGCTCAACCTCAAGGCGTCGCTGGGGGTGACGTTCACGGACTGGGCTGCTGCGTCGCCGTGCACCATTGCAGGGCAGAGCCCCGTGGTGGGCGCGTGGTCCAAGGTCGTGTGTGACACCGCCGGCAAGGTCATCAGCATGTGAGTCGCTCGCTCTGGCGTTCACAGCCTCTCTATGAGTAGTGGAAGCAGCATGAAGGCTGTAGACCGCAGTGCAGGCACGGTTTGAGTGCGCATGTATCTTGCATGCTCACCCAGTGGTTTGCATTTGTCCCCTCCCCGTTGCTTATGTGCAGCGACCTCACATCTCAGCTGTTGAAGGGCAGGATGCATGCTGACATCACCAAGTTCACCACTCTCACCTCCCTGTAAGCTCACCACTCTCACCTCCCTGTAAGCTCAGCACTCTCACCTCCCTGTGCTCCCCGCCGCACGTAAGCTCCCTTGACTCACCTTCACACCACCACTTGTGCTGTGAACCTTCCTCTGCTTATGCACCTTCCGATCAACCCCTGCCCTCCCTCCCATAATCCCCTCCCCTCCTCCCTACCGCCCCGCCCGCCATCAGTGTGTTGGAGAGCAACCTGCTGCAGGGCCGTCTGGCCTAACTTCACCACGGTCTTCAAGGGGCTCTCCGCGCTCAAGCTCTTGTCAGTCGCCACCACTGCTGCTTGCCACCTGCCCCGACTCCTATGCCATACACCATGCTTTTTTGCTCTCTGCGTCTCTGCCTGTCCTTTCTCCCACACCCTCCTTGTGCTGCTGTGTTTCGTGCCCTCACTGCGCTCTGTGCCCTGTGCTTGCCCTGCCTCCCTCCCCCACCACCTGCCTACGGCAGCAACATGAAGTTCAACTTCTTTGCCGGCCCGATACCATCCGCGCTTCTCACTCTCCCCACGCTCACCAACCTGTACTTCTCAACCGCTTCCAACCTCTCATCACATGCCAACTGCGTGCTTCCTTCGTTTTGCTGCCTCTTTCCTCTGCTTGCTTCGTACACCCATCCTCTACCTTGCCCCATGCACCCATCCAGTTCCATTCTCTGGGCCAAGGTGAAAATACATAGGTCTGATCGGGGTGGGGAGTACATGGGGAAGGATCTGGATTCTTTCCTTGAAGACAAGGGTATCACCCACCAGCTTTCAGTTTCCTACACGCCGCAGCAAAATGGGGCAGCGGAGCGGCTAAACCGGACCCTCATTGACCTTGCCCGAGCCATGCTTGCTCATGCGCAGCTGGACCATACTTGGTGGGGGGCAGCATTGCAATATGCCAATTGGGTTAAGAACCGGATGGGCAGAAAGGGGCTAGTGGGCAAGAGCCCCTACTTCATGTGGACCAGGAAGGTGCCTAGTGTGTCCATGGCACGAGTGTGGGGGTGCATGGCGCAGTACAAAGTGCCCGACCAGCAACGGAGGAAGCTGGATCCCAAGGCACGATGGGCCATTTTCCTTGGGGTGTCGAAGAGGAGCAAGGCTTGGATGTTGTGGAGTGTGGCAGATCAGCGGGTGGTGGAAAGCCGGGACGTGGTTTTCCATGAGGGGCTGAGCTACAAGGGGTGGAAGGAGCATGGTGCTAGTACGGTTGGGAGTTCCCTCCAGGATCCCTACACCTCTTCTATCTTTGAGGGGGCATGGGAGGACCCAGGAGAGGAGGTAGAGGAGCAGCAAGAGGAACAAAAGGCAGCTGCACCTCACCATAAGGAGTCCCCAACTGCTGGTTCCACCCCTGACCCTAACGCACCAGCCCATGACCCGCAGCAGCCACAGGGGCAACAGCAGCAACAAGAGCAGCCGCAGCAGCCACCACAGCAGCATACACCGCCTGTTCCTGTGGGTAGGTGGCAGCAACTACTGCAGCAGCAGCTGTCCAAGTCACCACGGTCCCCCATGAAGAGAGTGACTTGGAAGGAGAAGCTGCAAAGTTTGGAGCATGGGGAGGCATCACCTCTGCGCCGCACCACACGCATCTCCTGGCCACCTGAAAGGTTTACACCAAATGCACATTATGCTTGCATGCATGATCATGAGGGGCATGATTGGGAGGAATGCATGCTTGTGGATGCTGATGGGGGTAAGGTTGGGCTTGATTTCTGCCTTATGGCCCATCTTCCTTCCCTTTGAGAGACATGCTGTGTGCATGTCCTTGTTGGGGATGCAGCCCCATGTTGGCATGGTGCCTGAGCAGGATGTGAGAGGGCTGGTGCTTCTCTGCCTTGACGACATCATGCTATGGATGGCACCCAACCCTGGGCAAGGGGGAGCTGAGTGAAGGACGATTTTGCCCAGTGTTGTTCAGCCACCTCCAGCACGAGCAAAGGGGAGTGTTGAGTGTGTGGGTGGTTGTGGTTTTTTGCTCTAGCTGGCTGTGGGCTAAGAGTTTGGGCAAAATGTGATGACTAGACTTGTTGCGGGCTGGAATTGAACTCGCACCCAACAAGCACCAACAAACCTTCGCTATTCACTACAACACCTTTGGTGTTGCTAGTTTGGCACTTTGGGTTGTTGGGGATTGTTGTAGGGCAAGGGTTGGGTTGAGGTTACGTGAGCTGCACGCAATGTTCAGTCGAATTCGGCGGACTTAATCTCTTGTTACGCTCTCTAGATTCGCACGCTTTCCATCATTACCCGCATGGCCTTTGCGTTTGACCCATAGAAAAGCAGAAGCCCGTTCTTTTGCTAGGGATCCAACTCCCTCACACCTCCCATTTTTTGTTTCCTTTGCCCGTAGAACCCCAAACGTCGACCGCCCCAGAACGTTTTCCAAGCAGCAGGAACGGAGGTAGGGTGGTTCGCGATTCCGTTTCCCCCCACCGTCTTTATACGCGGTTCTGTTTCTTAAATCAGCTGTGAATTAAGAGACGGCGACTACCGTCGTGCTAGAGCAGCTACTACAACGACTATGGACTTTGGAGCAAGGACTACAAACATTGCGGAATGGCGACGTGGGAACCTCCTCCCAACCCACTCAACCGATCACAAATGACCGTGAAACCGCCCTGCAAACCACAAATATATCAACACCAAAAGCCCCTCGTCAAAGTGAAGATGCCATCCTCTCAGCTCAATCGAAGTTCCTCAATATTCCAAAAGTACGCACTAGTATCGTCTTTGATGGGAAAGACTTTTACACCTGGAGCTTCGGGCTGGAGCTACTACTGCAAACCGCGCAGATCTACCACTACTTTGACGAAAGCTACGGATGCCCAGCAACAGACGCCGACGATGCCAGAGCGTATTTTTTAAACCACTCGCTCATGGCGTACAGCGCACCCTTGTGCAATATGTCGCCAACAGAGAAACTCGGCATTCGTTCGTTCAAGACGAAGCTGGCTCCGGCACTGGAGGCCTGGAGGCACCTCACGAAGCTGTACCAACCAAAGGATTCCGTGTCGTCGAGCAGATTCCTCCAGCAACTTATGGAGGTGAAAATTGGGCCCGAGGAGAAAGTGAATTCCTACATCAACCGTTGTTGGAGCATACGCGATCAAATTGCTAAGCACCGCAATACAAACTTCGAAGATGTATTTGTCACCATTGTGCTCGCAGAGCTCGGACCTGAATGGAGGCTCTGCAAGGCCCTACTTCGACAGCAGGGAGCTATTCCATAAGCCTCCCTCTGCACCGCCCTCCTCGTCGAAGAACAAGACATGGACACTCACAAGGAGTGTCCCGCGCCGCGACGAGAGGGACTCGCCTTCTACACGGATAAAGAAGAGCAACGAGACACACGACCCAAGCACAACTACTGCAAAATTTGCAAGAAATTCTGGCACTCAACGAAGCAATGCCTTTTCCGCTCCAACTCATGCCACCCAAACTCACATCCCAATAGTTGGGGAGGTTGACAAGACGTTGCTCATCCATCCCAAGTGCCCACGCGCATGCCCAGCAACCCAACGCCGCAACAACAGCAACCGGCACAACCTGGAGCCACCAGAACCATCATTAGCAACATGGGGATGCGTCACACCAGGAGCATACGGCGCCACCGTACACAGACCATGTCGCCAAACCTACGCCAGATCGCATCTTCCCATTCGAGCCCAACAATCCCTTCACCACGGATCATGATTACAATGACGACGATGAGCAAGACCAGAACCTGCCAATCTCGTTGCTCAAAAGCCCTCAACACCTGTTCGACCCCAGGCCGGTACCCACCAACTGGAGCGCTCGTGAACGATTCTTAACATTTGACACTCCGCACATCATCACCCCACGGCTCGCACTACTCACACGCAACACCGACAAGCATCACAACATTTGGTACATTGACAGCTGCTGCGGACAGCACATGGTGGAATCAAGGCGCTTCATCTCGAAAGTCGCACTCAGATCGCGATAGCGATCGGCCTAGATCTTGGTTGAAGGCGTGCTTTACCATTCTGGAGAGTAGACATTTCCAACGCGTACATGCGCGTATTATAAGATTACGTGAGCTGCACGCTATGTTCCGTCGAAGTCGGCAGACTTAATCTCATAATCTGCTCTCTAGATTCGCACGTTTTCAATCATAGGGCAGCTTGGAAAATCTAGGATGTCGAAGACCATGTGGCAGTCTCAGCACGTGACGTACTGTTTTACGAGCGCCTCACTTACAACAATTGGCAAGTACAGTGCACCAACAGCGAGGACCTGACAGCTGGATTTACTGGAGCATGCACCTTTGAGACAGAAGCCGACGAAGCAGATGCGGTGGTGGAAGCCGACTCTGGTGCGTCAGCAACTGTCGGTGCCGCCCCTTACTGTTCATTTTCTATTCACATCGATGAATCAGATCCGCATAACGACGTCAACGAAGAGGCTTTCTACGGGTTCGCTGATAGCGGAGCAACAACACCACTAGCTGTCGCATCTAACGAATGCGAAAATCTGGGGCCTGGTTCCAACTTCGATCCTGAAGCTGGTGATGAAGCTGCTACTACCAAGACAGAGACACAGACCTAGTATCGACAGAATGGCTTACAGATACTGGTCTCGCAGTCGCTGTACAGAATCTTACTCTCCCTACAGAACCGAAAACTATCGATCCGGCACTGAACGGGCCTCATAGGGAGAAATGGCGCGAATCCATGGATAGGGAGCTGAAGAGACTGCACGACCGCAACACCTGGGAATCAATCCCTATTTTGACTGTCGCTGGCCAGCACGTCCTATCGGGAAAATGGGCTTTCCAGATTAAGACTAATGCAAACGGCAAGATCGAATGCTTCAAGGCGCGCTGGGTTGTTCGATCAGAAACATGGTGTTGACTTCGGCGAGACTTTCGCTCCCATCATTCAACACACTTCCCTTTGCATCTTACTCGCCGTTGCAGCCGTATTGGGTCTCAAGCTACAGCACTGCATTTCTCTTCGCACTCATCGAGAC